TATTTATAAAACAATTAATTTAATATTTCATACAATTATGTAAAATTAAAAAATTAACAAATTTATTATACATAAAAAATACAATGCAACTCATTTTTCCGTCTCACTTAACAGACTGCGGACTGTCGGATAGACATTTATAAAATTTCTATCCGGTGTGATTAAACAATGAGATGCAAAGCATGTAGTATCAGAGAGAAGCCTGAGAGCGGCCATGCCATTGTAGTTTCTTACGACGGTTTCAGCCGCTGGTTTTAGCCGTATTTCCACAAAAGTGGAACTCAAAGACCGTTCTACATTAAACGCAAGTATCAGATCTCGTGGAATTGACCAATTGCAGAGCCAAATCAGCCAATCGACCAACGTGATTGATCAGTTCCATGAGACCTCCGACTTGAGTTTCGTGGAGAAGTCCACATGTTACGGTGCAGACAATATAGTAGCCTTTCTCTCCAGCTGCTTTGTGCGCATGCGGTGAACATTCAAGCACGGTTGGGCATTTCTCTTTCTCGCGTTCTTTCCAATGCTTTGTCTCGCTCGCACTCGCTTAGTAGACGCGCCTGCGCATAATGACGCTCGACTATTTATGCCCATATTTGGACTTCGTGCGTCTCTCTTTCTCGGACCTCATGCCTCTCATTGCGAAGATACGCGACTAGCAATATAGAAGTATTATGAGTGCGGTCAAAGCTTCACTGCAAATGTTTTGAAGCATCATTCTATCTTTATTTCTCGTTAAATGTAGAATAAAGATAGAATGATACTTGGAAACATTTGCAGTGAGACGTTGACCGCACCCTATATATATGATAAATTTTAACCAATCAGCGACGACGAGACAGAAATCGTAGAAATCCTAGTTGTGATGCTCTCTATCGCGGACAGCTCGACAATGGCAAGGCGCGTTCCATATTATAGTTATTCAAGTTGGGTTGCATCAGCCGTACCGGTTGAATGTGCGTAGTTACGCTGCGAATATTTTTGGACAATTCTCGGTGTTTTACACCACTTTCTTTATTATTATCTGTTAGTTTAAACCAGTATACAACTCCGTGGCTAGGCGTCAGGAACCCAATCCACGGTTTTAAACCTATCATCAAAAAAGACGTAGAATGGCGTATGGACTAGCTTTGTAGGTCCACTGAGCCAAAAGAGCACCAAAAACCACCATCCATATTATAGTTCAGTGGTAGTATCTAACATAAGTGACAATAAAACAAAATGTGCATTTATTTTCATTAAGTATATTTAAATAATGTTTAATTCACAAAAGTATCTTTGGTCGTTACACATTGTCACATACAAAACTGAAATCACAAGATATAAGCATATAAGACTTCACGTTTTTTTGCTATTAATATTTGTTAAAAGATTCTATAAAATATCATCTTTTTCTGCAATTACATACATATATAACAACAATGACTATTATTTAAGAGTGTGCCATACGGTAACGAGTTTTCTTGGATTTTGAAGTACTGAAAACCAGTGCAGTCTTTCCGTTGAACCTCTTACTCCTTTACCAAGCGCTACTTTACCAATAGAAATATCGGCTGATCTAAACGAGTTAATGGAATCTTCGCTGTCACTTGCATGTGTATGCTCCATGGCATTGGTTGGTGATCTTTCTGGTAAAGTCTAAAAATGTTACTTAGTGTTTTCTTACAGTAAATACAGTAGTGTTTCGTTAACTTTCCGCTTCTCGGTTTTGCGAATGGAAAGATGTCGAGGCATAAATGACAGATTCTGTGCTTTGGTAACATGCCGGTAGCATTAGAAGGGATGCGGAGCGTAAGTATACGGTACAGAAGAGTGCACCATATCGTACGGTTCCAGGGGAAGTATTTCTCGGAAATTTCTCCTCCGGCTGCTTCTACTACCGCGCGCCGTTCTCCTTTGAACTCGAGCCGTTGGCAGAGACCGAAGAAGAACCGCGTAATAGTAGGAGCAATCAAAAGAGAAATATCGAAGAAATATTTCTCTTGGAGCCGCACGATATGGTGCACTCCTGTGTACAGAAGAGTGCATCATATCGTTCCGCTCCAGGAGAAGTATTTCTCGGAAATTTCTCCTCCGGCTGTCCCTACTGCCGCGCGCCGTTTTCCTTCAATCTCGGGCCGCTGGCGGAGATCGAAAGAGTACGGCGCGCGGTAGTAGAAGCAGCCAGAAAAGAGATTTCAGAGAAAAACTTCCCTTAGAGCGGAACGATACGGTGTACTCCTCTGTACATACGTTAGGTACGTAGCCAAGGTCTGTAGAATAGACAGGTTGCCTGATAACTCTCGATCAATCAGAAAATGCGGGAGTGACGTCACTCAGCGTACCCGTTTAAATTAATACGAGTTATATGGTTCGAATATTATATGAAATATGCAACTATATCGCTATCAAACTATCGAAATATATACCCTAATAGGCAAATTGTAAAAATACTGCACAAAAATAGCATCATAAATAACGACGATCCTGCAATGATTGCACTAAGATGATTCGCCATAACGCAACAGTTTTGTCGAAATAAAATTTTGTAAATATTTGTCAAAAATTGCGAAAGAGTCGTTATACATTTCCATAAGTATATATATGAATTAAGTTGGTTTCTTCATATGCAATTATATTTCTACATATTTTAAACATCACATAGCTGAAATTTTTTCCCAATTATTGGACAATTTCTTTTTGAAATTAATTTTACAAATATACTGCTAAGATGATTCATCATATTGTTATTCTTTTGCCGAAATAGTATTTGGAAAGTAATTTTGCAAACAACTACAAATATTTTATAAACGATCAATGTTTTTACATCTATTTCCTAAAATATATACATATGTATAATTGCAAATTACAATGTTAGAGCAAGATTTCGTCACATAATTTTGTAAATGTTTTTCTATCTCAGGATAATAAACTAATATCAAACTATAATATCAAACAAACCACTAATCATTGATGTATTACTAGCTTCATAGGTGCAAATTGTGTTGTTTGGCACGCTGGGATACGTTCCAAAATCTTACCTTGGTAACCGAAAACTATAATACACGTGACGTAAAATATAGCATCATAGTAAGTTCATTTTAAATTTTGCTTCTTGTGTAACGGTGATTGAATACTCTACTTTATCTTTTAGAATGTCATTTCCAAGATAATTACACCATGTTTACTATCAACAGCCAACATTTTGCATTGCTTTTAAACATTTACTTCGTTTATATCTTGACTTAATGTATATTGCGTATTTTTTATATTATTAATATGTTCACAATTGCGACTGAAGAAGACTCCAGTTAGAGTCGAAATATTTTGCGTATTTTTTATATATGTTAAAGCGTTGATCATTAAATCATTATATTATTATATTAATATCTGTTTTGGCTCGATGTGACCATTTTCATTTGCTAATTTGTATTTACATTACGAGCGTTTCTGTTAATTTATTACATTTTTCTTTGTAAAATATAGCATTTTAGTAACCAAGGTAGGATTTTGGAACGTACCCTTGAGTGACGTAGAAATATGGCCGCCCCCATCCGACGCTTTGGTTGCCATTGATTACCAGGCAACCTGTCTATTCTACAGACCTTGGTACAGTAGGGAGCACCATATCGTGCGGCTCCAGGGGAAATATTTTTCGGGGATTTCTCCTTTGGATGCTCTATACTATCGCGCGCCGTTCTTCTTCGGTCTCCGCCAACGGTCTGAGATCAAAGGAGAAGAGCGCGCAGTAATAGGAGCAGCTAAAGAAGAAATTTCCCAGAAATACTTCCCCTGGAGCCGCACGATATGGTGCTCCCTACTGTACGTAGCTCTATGCTCTCCAATGCTACCGCATGCTACCAAAGCTTTGAATCTGGCATCTCTGTGTCGAGAAGGTATATGTTCCAAGAATGGGCTGTTATTTCTGATTGGCTCGACCACGAGCTCGACCGCTGCAGAGTCATCCTCACCAATTTGCGCGAAGCTTCGGCGAAGCACTTCTAGGAATTGGTGGAAATGACTCCCCGGCACGATACTGAGGGAACTATTCAGCACTTTAGCGAGGAATTATTTTATTTTACACACATACACACCTTACTGCAAAGCACAATTAGAAACTGAACAGTATCAAGCTGAGTGATCGGCAGATCAAATGTCAAAGTCTCGTTAAATTCAGGCTGCGCAACGGCCTGTAAAAATTTAGTTTTTTTCTTCTTCAATTTTTTACCCGTCTTTCCGTTCAGCATTAGCACTCTAATATACGGATCTACAATAAACATAATGTTGTCAAAAATTACTATCAAATGTTTTTGCAAAGCGTGCAATTTATTGGTTTTTTTCTTTGTAAATAAAGATTGATATACTTACTGAATTCGTTTAAACTCCGCACCGCTGGTGTGAATTTAACATCGCGCAGTTTCATAATATTAATAGTCAGTCTCTGTGCAGTAGGTAAATAGCTTATGGCTAATAAAATATTGCCAAATTCCTAAACAGTATGAAAAAAATAAAAACTGTTATACACATGGTTTTCTCAGATATATTTTATATGAAAAATATATGTAGAGAATATTATTAATATATCACACTTGATTGGATGATTTCATTTTGAAATTAAACATATGGATTTCCGGACTGTAGAAAATTTTCTTCATATCTTTCAACGATATCTTAAGTGAACACAATTCTGTGTGATTTGCATATTTGTCGTGATCGTACGCAGCGATATCTATAATCCATTCCTAAAGCAAGATAATCCATAAAAAAATTTTACATGTACTATTAAACTACTCATCTCGTGGATAAATAATTTCATGTCAATAGACAAAAATACAATTTTACAACATACAGTGGAAGTTGGAAGAAATAAAAATTATACCTTAGCTTCTTGTGGTTTCACATACGCGATAATAAAAGTTTCATTATAAGTCGGATTGGCTGTGTGCCTGATACCTCTTGTTCTAAAACTGTGCAATTTTTGTCGCTTTCTGTGACTCCATGATTGCTTCACGATGTTTAATGCTACATAAGGTTCCAAAGTGCCATTGTATTGCTTCGGAGGAAGGCCGCACAGTGCCTGTAAACCACGGAATGTGTTCCCATTATGTAATTTTAGTTCGATTTGAATACTACATTGTTTTGACGATACTATCATTGTATAAAACAGTTCTAGTGCAATATTCTCTAATAGTAAAACAAACAATTGTCATTAAACAGGCAGCAATGTGGTGCCAATATGCTGATATAAATGTTTACTCGAGTTGAACTCGATATATTTTAGCATTTTAACTTTTTTTAATCTACACTAAAAATGATTTTTCTTGTGACTGCCAACTACGCACTTCGATACCGATAACAAGCTTTCCGATGATAATGTTGTCACAGGATGGCAGATATTGCAAACTCATTGTTAATTCGGGTGAAAACTCCTTCACTTTCTTATCACTTTTCTGTTTATCCGCTTGAATCAAATTCTATAAATTTCAGAAATAAATTAATGGCGTAATAAAATTGTGTTGAATTCAATTACATATGTATAGTTACCAGCGTAGAGGAGCACTCAACAGTCTCATTACACTGAGGATTGGCAGACTTAAACGAATCCCTGGGAGATTCTGTATTTTCGCTAATAGTACCTGGTAATAGTACAATAGTCATCAAACACAAAAAAAGAATGGATTATAGATATAAATTAAATATGTTATAATTCAAATCACCGTTGTTTTCATTTTCGTACAGACTACCCAATCTCCAAGATCTATAACTGACATCACTGAGTTTCAAGTTTTCTTTTTCACGATTTTTCGCTCGTAGAGGAATATTCTTATTATCTTTGCCTATGGAAAATTGTTATTATTTCAAAAATATGATAGAATAGAAGATATGTCTGATTTTGTTTTAGATTGTAGCAATAATTAAAACATTCTCATGTTTTTCTCATCGAGAGAATATAGAATTCAATATATTATATCTGTTATAATTTGTCCTCTTTGAAATTTACATGATACTAAAGTATTTCATTGCACAAGAACGCGCGCTCATGTGCGTACGCATGTTTGATCAGTCTTGTTACGAAAGATGTAGTTGTTATACAATAATTATTACAATAATAATTGTATAATATGCTAAATTTAAACGGTAAAAAAGCAGTATTTTGTCGCAAAGAATGTATGTATGTATGTATGTATGTAGAATGAGTGATATGATGTAACATCATTCGAGCATTTTTCTGCAATATTATTGAAAGAATATGTACTGCGCGTTGGCTAGTTGACTAATTACATAACGCTGCAAAGGAAGCGAAAGAACATTATTCATATATATGTGTGTGTATCATGCAATGTAATGCAAAGACGTAGTTTCTGTACATTGAGTCGTTAGGAAATTAATTTCTCACAAGCTCCATTCGCCACATACAGTTGCTACGAATCTATTTTCAAGTAACGACTTGTTGTCGCGATTTCAAGTGATTATTGCAGATATATAATGAGCGTAATTATTTTGCAATATACACACGCTTCGTGTACAAAGCACGTGCAGCGCAGAGTTCGCGTACGTGACTGGAAAATAAAATGTGAAATCGACGCTTAGCGTTGAGCCGATTGGTGCCAAGTGCTTTGCAATAAAAACAACACTTTTTTACCATATTACTGTTATTATTATTACAGGCATTGATTCCAGTTTCATTAAGTGTTGAGTTGGATGTTAAACTCCGCGACAAGAGTGCGCTGCTCGCAAGCATAATTATAAGACATACTTAAACGAACTACGTAGAAATAGTTGATAATCTTACTTTGTTTTCTGAAGCACTCATAACCGATGCAACCAGGTGTGAGGAAACAAACAAACAGCAGCACCGCGAACAGAATGAGTCCTACTCCTATTACGATTACAATTAATAGGCCCCATTGGCCTGCAAACAAGTCTTCGAACAACATTCACTGTAATTATACGAGTTTAAGATTACGTTTCGTTTCAATGTAAATAGCACGATAATAAAAATTCACAGACGATTAATAATTTGACCAAGACACTTTCGCATAATGTAAAGATAAACATAAATGTCTCATATTGGATTACTTGAACGTTCGGGCACGATTTTAAAATAAAAATATCACGTACTCACGTCGGAAAGGTCACGTCTTATATTCGTTATCACACATTTGCCAACGTATTTCCTGCGACATAGGAGTGCGAAAAGTAAGCCGCGTTAGCACACGTATGTATGTATGTACGTTGCGGATAGGAGACACTTGTGTCACCAGCGCCAATTGTCTTGGCTAATTGTATCCGAATGAAAGCAGATACACAAAACAGGCGAATGATAACACTTGTAGCGACAAGAAAGAAAGAGATTACTGTCAAAACGTATTGGAATATCCATTTGTCTTTTCTAGTTCGTGAATATTTTCGTTCCAAGAAAAACGAAGACTCCTCATATATAATGCGTAGGCGTCAATTTAACGATCGGCATATCAAGCGTTATCTCTAAATGTTTAACCGTATGATCCCTATGAGATTTGACACATCTGTTTCTTCGAAAAAAAATCCATTGGTACGGATAATGCATCACTGACTTTTCGTATCGATTACTTTTCCATGTGCAATTTTTGTTTTCGAATCGCGGAACTTTACTCGTGAGTTTGACGTCAAACAATTGTTTTCATTAATTCTTTCCGATTACTTTCCCGCGAATACATCGGTCCGGTACTCACTCGACCACGCTGTGTAATTCCATGATGATAACAGGTAAACTCACAATTCACGTCTACACTCGTCAAACGTCACAAGGTCACAAGTGTGCTTGGCCCGATTAACTTGACTTAATATTTTACTTTGCGCTTTGCTGAGCGCGAGGACGCAACATCGACAGCGATTGTTCGCGTCTCCGATCTGGCGAACAAATGGCAAAATGTTGTGTGCGTTGAAACAACGTGACAGGCAATCCCTCCTGCAAATAATTCTACGAATCTGTGTAGTTCTCGGATAGATGAATAATACTTATATAAACACCTATTGTTGCATTAGCGGCTTTGACTAAAGATGTTATGTGAACGCGACTACAAACAATATAAATTTATGTTGTAACCACGCTTTTTATTTAGTATTTTCAATTACAGAAACGCCTATATGTACGCCTATGTGTTGCCATGTTTGCTTGTGGAAGAACAGAAGAGTAGATTGTACGTGTCTGTGTATAAGGAAATCATGTGTTGTGTGTTATCGCTGATAACACACAAAAGGACACGCCAGTGTGTAACGTACGTATAATATGACTTTTGTAACAAAACTACAAATGATTGTTTTGACAAATATAAATAAGAAACCGAAATGTGAGACATTTCTTAGTACATATATTTTATCATATACGTATTTTGTATACATATGTATGTACAAAATACATATTATGTATATATGTCCCGCATGTACTGTTATTTCGTTTAATAGTACGTTCTTGAGATCACTCTAAGGAGAAAATTCTAATAATAATAATGCTTATATTCTAATATAAACATTTGAAGTTAACAAATTACATCGCTTAAAAACTAATAAATGAAACAAATTTCGGGTAGTAAGAGCCGTTTGCAGGATGTTATGCAGAATGTGCTTAAATATATGTATATGTATACACATATACGATGAAATAATTTTTTTCCTCTATATAGGATGCGGGATTTGCATCACGTATATATAGAGGGGGGGGACCCCGTATACCCCCCTAACTAATTTTAAAATATTGCGAAAAAAGCCGAAGATTCCAGGTTCGACTCCTGGCTGAGGAGTTTTTTTCGCAATATTTTAAAATTAGTTAGGGGGGTATACGGGGTCCTCTATATATACGTGATGCAAATCCCGCATCCTATATNGAGGAAAAAAATTATTTCATCGTATATGTGTATACATATACATATATTTAAGCACATTCTGCATAACATCCTGCAAACGGCTCTTACTACCCGAAATTTGTTTCATTTATTAGTTTAAAGACTTCAGAGCCCAAAGAAATCTTCTTCTTGTTCATTATTAATTTAAAACATCGCCTAAAATTCGCGCGCTCAGGTGCGGTACGACACACTTGTGCTAAAGGCGCAAACGTGTCGTACACAATGTCGCCTTCCGTCTTGTTAATAAAAATTGCACATGCTACAATACAGAAATAAATTAAGATTTTGCTTTTATTGAAATTTACGCATTGTAGATAACAACTTAATGAAAATATACAGAAAAAAAAAACAATATTATTATGTAATATGCGCGCACGTGAAGCATAAGCTATCAAATAACGGGATTACATTTGGCGATTTCGCTAATAAAGAATTACAAAATGAACATTAGTGCTATCTGTTATTGCAAAACGCTAATTTACTTAATGTATATAATCTGTTAACAACACAAAAGAGATTTCCCTTTCATACGATAAATCGACCTGTCATTTTCTAATAGCGATTCTTGAAAGTGTTGTGCGTGACTCAGTCAGTCTCAACCTGCTGATCATTGATCAGAGATTAATGGCACGAGGTCGTTCAGCAGCTAAATTCAGTATATAATCGTGTTAATTCTATTCCACTATAAAAATATGCATGTAATTAGCATATATTTATATGCGCAACAAAGATAACATTAAGAGAAAATAGTGAGAGAGTTCACCGAAAGTCGATATCGACACTTGTTTGGCCGCAAGTGACCTCGATCCCCAATCCGCGCTTCTCCTTTCACTTGAAAAGTACGTCTGTGTGAACACTCTTTCTTACACCGTCTTCATGTAGAAGACATACTCATTTTGAAACGATATCTTAGTTTATCCTCAAACACCGATCGGTAAGCTGGTCATCTGTTATCGATTTTTTAAATCTTAAATTTAAATAAGTAAGAGAGATGCGGTATTTTTTCTGTTTTACTTTCTCTTTCTCTCTGTGACTATTTATTGTGAAGTGACTCTTTTTATTTTTTTTATTATTTTATTTAAAATAAAATAATTATTTGATATCATTCATAGAAGAAGTTGTATACACAAGTGACATTTGTTTTAGTGTGAGTGAAACATGAAGCACAGTTCAATGCGTGATACATACTTACGTCTGTACTTTTCTTGAAGAATGAGCGTACGTGATCATGTGGCAATCGTTCCGCTCTTAGATTTCACTTTCGCACAACTTAATTTTTAAACTTGAAACATGTAATAAATTGATTTATTATAATAGAGGAAGAAAAACATAACAAGATATATGTGCAATATATATAATGTTTAATATAAAAATAGAAATTTTTAACTAAAAATTCTTTTTTATTTAAACACATTTTTTCGAAACATTAAACACATTAAAAATAAATAATCAATGCTATTTTTAACGATTATAGAAGAAGATTATAGTAGAGATTAATAAATTATTCTAAAAAAGAATAATGTTTGTACATCACATTTTATTACAGAACACTCGCAACAATTTTAGACATGCTAAGATATGAGTGATTGATGTGCACAAAGATTTCTTTTTTACAATGATGGTGATCGTAAGGACCATTGCGCTACTTTTATTAATCAGTTACAATAAGAGTTACGTAACTCACACGTAATATTTTATATCTACATCATTATCAAACATTGCTTTTTATTACATGAGTATTTTTTTTGCCACATCAATAATAAATTTGTATAAAAAGTGACAAAATCATAAAAAATAATATTTTCAGATGTAATTAGCTTAATTATACCGGAAGAACTTCCTACTCTTTTGTCGCTAATCTATTCTAACATACCTCCAATCAAAAAAGGTAATTTAAAAGATTAATTATATATATGGGATTGTATTTGTTGTTAACACATTTAAGATTCTAAATTGAAACTACATTTTATAGGAACCGATTCAAGACTTGGCGTAGGTTTCCGATTAGGAGAACACGCGGATTTCCAAATTCTTATCGAATTGGGTCCTCAAACCGAGACAGAATCATTAAGTGCGTCTAATGATGCAAAGAGACGAAGAGATGTAAGATTTTTTTTATATTTTTATGTGAGGTAAACTTAAGATTCAAAAATATAAGAAAAGTGATATTCCTATATTCGTGAATCAAATATTGTCGATATAAAGTTTTGTGTCAAAATATTAATATTATATAATTATATAATAAGATCTTATACACTGTATACAGACAATTACTGCTGCTATGAGAGGAGAGCTAGGACCATTAACACAAGCGATAGCTAAATATCAAATACAGCAAGCAATTAAAAAAGAAGTGGAAAAATACAGAATAATGCAGGAAAAACTTAAAAAAGTCCAAATGGAAGAGAAAAAACAACCAGAAAATCAACATGTAAGTAGGACAATTAAGAATTCAATATGTTTAACTTTCTATTTTATACAGTGGAGATGATTATATGATGAGTCAATGTAAAAAATCCCCTCCACTCACTGATATACTAGATTCTATTATAATACATAATTGTTGCAATAATTCTGGAAAATTTTATTATTATTATAATATTATTATAATATAAAATTATATATTATTATTATTATTATATACATAATCGTTACAATAATTCTGGACAATTTTATTATAAATATTTAATTTTTTTAGAATACTTCTAGCAATTGGTTAACGGAATGGAGAAAGGAAATGTCATATCCATCACAATATGACGTGTCATTAAATTTAGCTCAAAATGATACAATACAACAACAAAGGATAGAAAGACCACTAGTTCAATCCAACGTTCAAAAGAATAAATTTGAAGAGCTAGCAGAACTATATAGATCACAAAATACGACCAGAAATACTTGAGCACAAATTTAATGTGGATTTGTGCAACTGTACATGTACAAATAAATCTATATCCAGTAAGAACAGTTATATAATTATTGTATTATATTATGTTGCGTAGAACAGAATGTAACAGGTAATATAATAAAAATATTACATGCAACGTTATAGTGTGTGAACAGGATGTCATACTATACTCTGATAGGAAAACATTTACAAAATTATATGAATCTTGCACGAAATCTTACACTAAAATTGTAATTTGCAAGTATACAGATATATTTTAGGAAAAAGATGTAAAAACATTGATCGTTTATAAAATATTTGTAGTCATTTGCAAAATTACTTTCCAAATACTATTTCGGCAAAAAAATAACGATATGGCAAATCATCTTAGCAGTATGTTTGTAAAATTAATTTCAAAAAGAAATTGTCCAATAATTGAGAAAAAAATTTCAGCTGTGATGTTTAAAATATAGATTTATAATTGCATATGAAGAAATCAACTTAATTCATGTATATACTTATAGAAATGCATAACGACTCTTTCGCAAGTTTTGACAAATATTTCCAAAATTTTATTTTAACAAAACTGTTGCGTTATGGCGAATCATCTTAGTGAAATCATTGCAAAATCGTCGTTATATATTCATGATGCCATTTTTGTGCAATATTTTCACAATTCGCCTATTGGGGTAATAGTTATTCTTACTATCTTATTTTTTATCTAAAATTCCTACATCTTTTTACAAATAATAAAATTACGAAAAAGTAGTAAGGCCTGGTTTATGCGGGCAATAACTGTTAACTTATGCCGGAACCGGTAGAGTTTAACTATAGGATTCCAATACTTCTGTTTATACGCATTCGGCAATTTTGTATAAACAGAAGTATTAAAATCATATAGTTAAACTTTACCGGTTCCGGCATAAGTTAACAGTTATTGCTCGCATAAACCAGGCCTAAAACCGGAAAATAATTATGAAAGTCACTTATAACATTTACTTTTTCTGGTTAAAAAATATTGCACACATATACGTAAGGTTTTTTTATAAAATAGAGGTAGAGTAGATTTTTTTAAGTTTTGCATTGTATTTCAGAGTATATTGTATTATAATTTATATTTATATAATTTTGCTCGTGGTAATTAGTTATTTTCTCTCGTTGTCGGTGGCCATTGGTAAGCCTGTCATCGTTGATAAGTCAACTTCGGTATATGTCGGTCGAATTGGAGACTTATGCAAAATTCTACTCACTACTGTATGCACGTACATTGCATGTGCTTGCGTCACGATGGACGATAGACGAAATAATCGCGAAGTTGTGACCGTGCTGTTCCTGTGTCTGCTGTGGTACGCGATATCCAGTAGCAGTAATGTTGTCGGTAAAATGTTGCTATCGGAATTTCCGTATCCGCTTACCGTAACTATGGTCCAGTTAACCTCGATCACTATCTATTCCGGTCCATTCTTCAATCTCTGGGGTGTAAGGAGATATTCGTCCAACATAACATGGAGCTATTACTTACGGCTTATCGTACCCTTAGCCTTGGGCAAATTTTTAGCAAATGTATTCAGCCACGTCAGCATTTGGAAAGTACCTGTCTCTTACGCTCATACTGGTATGTATACGTAACATACGTTTCTGAAAACCCGTCTCACACGTACGTACACGTGTACACGAGATTCTGACATATATAAATACTCACTTTTAATTTAGGTTTATGTATAATATTTATATATATATTAATTAAAATTTGGCTCTGTCCCAGTGAAGGCTACAATGCCTCTCTTTACGGTAGCTCTGTCGAGAGTAATACTTAAAGAACAACAGACATGGAAAGTCTATTTGAGTCTTGTCCCAATAGTTGGTGGTGTAGCAATTGCAACACTGACAGAGCTTAGTTTTAATATGATTGGTTTGATAAGCGCATTAGCATCTACTATGGCATTCTCATTGCAGAACATTTACTCAAAGAAGGTAACATATATATATATATAGAATAAACTCTTAAGGAAAAATTATTTTAGATATACCTTTGATGTATCTAAACTTCTCATTCTACAGGTACTGCACGACACAGGAATACATCATTTACGATTGTTACATATACTTGGTCGTCTAGCTTTGTTCATGTTTTTGCCAATTTGGATCATATACGATCTACGCCGTTTATTATACGAGCCAGTTCTACGACCATCTGTTGAGATGAGTTATTATGTATTAGGATTGTTAGTTTTAGATGGTATATTGAACTGGTTTCAGAACATTATTGCTTTTTCAGTGTTGTCTATTGTAACTCCTTTAACATATGCTGTGGCAAGTGCGAGCAAACGTATATTTGTAATAGCAGTAACGTTACTTATTCTTGGTAATCCAGTTACATGGGTCAATATATTTGGTATGACTATGGCCATATTAGGAGTGTTGTGTTATAATAAGGCCAAATACGATCAGAGAATAGAAAAACAGAAAGAGACAATTCTTCCAAAATATTATAATCAAACTCAAAATGGTAACAGTTCCTTTATGGTAAACGGATTTGTAGGCAAAGAACATCAATCATTCGCTGTCTAGTTTCAATTGAGTTTTTTTTTGACAAATTTTGATATAAGTTTTTTATCAGAGATATTTATTTCTTTTTTAACGTTTAAATTATATGATTTGTAAAATTAATATAGTATTCTTGTACTTTCGTATCATGATTGTTGGTCTAGTTTTTCAGTATCTAAACCTGCTGGTAAGGTGATTGCATAATTTAAAATTATAATTAGCTGATTGCTGGTTCAATTAGCATATATTAATTAATCGCAAATTTGACTACATTCCCCGGAATCGCTGTTACTTTACATGATGAGCAAGATGTGTAATCTGTCTTGAAACTAAAGTAATATGTAATTGTGTGTGTATGTATACAAACACACACATTACTCTGTATTAAACATGTTATATTGTTTGAACTGTTGAAGAGTTACAAGACAAATTTACATACTTGTGCATTAAACATTGTATTGTACATAAAAACTATGCTAGCACAATGTTTTAATTTTATTTATATTTGTAAAATTATTCGTCTGTTTTACAAGAAAATTTAGCTAAATACTCATCCTTATACTAAAATTTAGCTGCACTTTTAAAGTTTCTCAATACTTATTATAGCTATCTTATATATCATGACGTCAGAAGCAAAACCCTTCACGCCTAAAAATTGTTACGACTGACGTCAAAACAAGAGAATATTTCTGTGTAAATTCACTTACACTCGATAGGCCATACTCGTGAAATATACCAAATAGGCTTCTTTTGATTTAACAAGACAATATTATCAAAATCAAATAAAGTATATCACACTGTAATTTTAGAAGTGAATGTTCTCACTTCTGATGTCATAATCTTTGATAGCAAGTGTCGAGAAGTCTCAAATATCAATGAGACAAGTGCGTTTGCAGATATATGTAACTAGAAAGAGTGAGAGAGTATGCGTGTACTATATATGTGAATTATATGTAAAAAAAAATGTTTTAGCTGAAAAAAGACCAATCTATATATACATTTATTTTTATAAATAAATTACACATTTGTGTATATAAAAATATATGGGAAATTTTTAATATTATTCTTACCTTCGACCACACAACTCTAGTTTTTTTAAATATAATTATAGATATTCTTTGAGAATACAACTGGTGATACTGTCAACTGTATTTGTTTTCACTCTTGTAGTGAATTATAAAATATTTGATGTAAAGAAAATATCTTGAAGATATTATAAAATATTCTAAAATCTAAAAGCAATAGTTTTATCTTCGTCTACAAAGTTGTCACGATATATTGTGGCGACAGTGGTCTTGCTACAGTAAGATCTAGACGTGGTCCGGCTGCTGCAATGAGTGGAACAGCCAAACAACAGTCGCAGTCTTCCGTATTCGCTTCGTTGACTCGAAGAATTCTGTCGTAAGGTCGCAAAACACCGTCGCAGGGTCCACCGGGTCGCAAACGGTTTATATAAACACCTCGTTCATAAAGACCGTCTGACACGGAAAAGCCAAAGTCCTCATATACTGGATCTTTGTGCAGCGACACGTGCACTATCTGTTGAGCTTTGTTGTCAGAACCGCGTTCCTGCGGCCTATACATTTTTTAAAATAAAAAAAAAATATAACAAAAAAATGGAATAAATTTTTTAACAAATTTTAATCGATCTTACCCTGAATAAGACGGTACTGATAAATCCAACTGTCCGCTATCCACAGAGGCGGTATCCCAAAGTCTCAATATCTCTGGCATTATACCACTCTCTCCTAATTCGCCCCAGGAATCCACTGCGCTATCCACGCTAGGAAGACTCTCTCTGGCCGAACGTAATACACCGGTTGAAAACTGTGGCTGAACCGTGTCGCTTCCTACGCTAGTCTCTCTGCAATAATCTCTGTAGCATTTTGTTTTCAATTATATCTTCGTTGGGATATAGACTTTGTTGGGATATAGACTTTGTTGGGATATAGACTTCGTTGGGATATAGACTTCAAATAATGAAAATTCTTCTTGCAAAATGATTTTAAAATAATTTAAAATAATTTAAATAGATAGATAATTGTTGTTAGATAACGAATTAACTAGTTAACATGTGTATTTTAGTGATGTTTAAAATGATTCGATTTTCTAGACTATTGGATACCTAGTTTCCGTATTAGGATCCGGCTTTCTAACGGTTAAAGCAACCACTGAACTACCAGGTCGATGTAACAATTGAGCGGCTTGTCTCAGATCTCCGGAATCAAGTTTTTGACCGTCTATTGCGAGTAGTCTGTCTCCAGATGCTAAACTACCCGTTCGATAAGCGAGCGATCCTCGGCGGACCTCTGTAATTACTAGATCTTCGTTCACCGTAAGGCCGAGATCAGGTTGACCGCCCAGCGGTCTCGCTACTCTCACTGTGAATACACCGGAACTTGGCACCACCGGTCCGCCCACTTTGTACTCTATCACTAATTCGATCTGTGATAATTCAAAGACAGATAATGAACAAAGTATTATTTCAGTGTTTTATAGTTATATGCAAAAAGTAGAGCGAGTGGAAAGCCACAAATTACCATTTGCGACGTTTCCAGTATGTTGACTACTTCAGCTGGTTGTAGATCACGTAACATTCTTCGATTGATTGCAACAGCCTTATCGCCTGGCAAAAGAACACCACTTCGTTCGGCTGGACCACCGGCTTCTAACAAACTCACGACATAATTTACATGGTCTTCGGTTGGCTTGAGCGCGAGGCCGAATCCCCGATGATCCGGCCGAAGAACAACTGTTAAGCTCTCCTTCATCTGCAAAGTCTGATTCGAATTTTGTTGAGCTTGCGGCTGTGCTCTTCTTTTCTTTGTTCTCGCACTAGGTGATCGCGGTAATATCTGCAATTTGGCGATGCGACAGCTCTCGGAATTGTTTCTAAGTAGTTTGGCAGCAGTTACTGCATTCTGAACAGGTGTATCATCTACGGCTAGCAACCGATCTCCTGCTTGCAAAGCACCACAGCGATCTGCAGTGCTAGCTGGACGAAGGCTCTCGATGTAAACACCGTTTGTTGTTTCTTTTACGGTTAAACCTAGTTCTCCTACAAATATGTTTAGTGTATTTCTATTAGTTTCAAAAGTTTAGACGTTTGAAATAAATTAAATATTTCATATTTTAATTAAATTAAATGTTTCATATTTTAATTAAATTAAATGTTTCACTTTTCATTAATTCTTTCACTTGTAGAAATAAATAATTATTTCGATGTATCAAAAAAGAGAGAGAGAGAGAGAGAGAAGAGAATAACAGTATATTTTTTTTTTTTGAGAAATAAACAAGAAAAGTCGAGAAATTCACCTGATATACCGCGTTCTAATTGAACAAGCAATGGACCGGAAGTGGCCGCTCGTGCTTCCTCCATGTTCGCAACATCGTACTCGATTGTGAGAGATGCGACAGGTGCGTCCGAACTTCTTCTAAGCGCTCGCTGGGCTTCCGCTAAGGTGAGTCCTCGCAATTCGGTATCATCTACCGCGAGTAACCGATCGCCCGGTCGGACTCTTCCTTCTTTTGCGGCTGGACCGTCTGCTTTTACTCCTGTCACTACCAAAGCCCTCGTAACTCCGCCACGGAGAGTTACGCCAAGACTGCCACCTTCTCGTTCAACTCTTACTTGCGCGACTTTGGACGAAACACTGCAGGGTGATGAACCGATTGCCTCTGGATCATCCAGCAGCAGAAAGCTGTGAGGATGATACTGTACTTGTGTCTCTTCTACTCTTGTCGAATCCGAACTTGCAGACGTGGCGACACTTCCTGGTCTGGTGCGACTCTTGTGCGAGCGCATAGTCGCCAATCTCAACGAACTGAACATTCTTAATTACAATTTGTTAATCTTTTTGATTTCGTGCAAAATTCGATCTTCATCAATCTAATACGAATATCTCGTCCAAGTTATTTTAATGAAACAATTAACATTATTCCAAAAAGAAAAAAGGACAAATTCTCAAATGAGATTTACGTTTTCTCTTTCTTTGTTCACGTCTGTTTACATCTGTGGCTATAACGCTCTTATGTAATACACACACAAATGATTGTCTACAGATCAAACTTGTGATTGACACGTTTCTCATTCTTCTACAAAAATCTTATATATCTTCGAATTACACCCAATGCAAAACATTCTTCACGCTGTACATATCGCGAATGGCAAAGAACTGTTTTCCCCAATTTGAGACCCATTCACAGAGAACACTTACATAATTGCAAGTATATCCTTATATATTTCCATTTTATTTAGTTGAAAACTAATCAGAACTGTCACTTTTTTTTTATTGGAGATTTATGCCTCTTAACAGCGCAATGATTTAATTGGGAAAAACCCTGTAACTAATTTAAATAATTTAAATTAGCAGAGAGAAAAACATGCACTTATGTACCACTAAAAGATCAGATCACAATCGATGATACTTATTGCTCGCGAGGTAAACAAATCGGGTCGTGATGTCTTTGTTCGATTGTCCGGCGCAGTGTGAAACGGCCGCTGCACTTTTAGCCGCGGATGAAACTTCTTAGAACTGAGCGTAGAACTGTAACGACTCGATGGGCGACGGAGTCTCGAAAATAACTTCTCCAATATAGGGCCGCATTGCCGCGCAGACGAGCGAGTCTATTTATATAATCGCGCCTCTGCTTTAAGTCCATTGCACGTGAAAAAGTTTTGGTTGTAACCGTAAGATCGCGTAAGTGAACCAACCAATCATAGATCAGTATTAGTTCATGTTTAGCGAAAATGCTGATCCTGCGATTGGTTGATTTATTTTGAAGTTCAAAGCCGCGTCTCATTCTATCTCCGGTCACATTAGAAATGATCACGATTGACACTTACTCGTCCGAGTAGTTTAATCGAAGATGACGAAACTAGGACTAAAAGTTTGATATATGTATGTACAAAAGTCTTTACACACGAGAATACTGTGTGCGGCCCTGCAAACTTCACATTTGTGTTCGCTATAACATCAAATAAGACTGCCATTTTTCATCAAATCTTAGAGTTACACGTAGCTACCATCGTCCCTGTCTCAAATAGTTGTAATTAAATATTTTAAAAGATAAGAAAAGTTTTGCTCGCATTAACTGACATTGTTACAGTAATAAATGCTTTAGGAAGTTGAAAAAAAAAAAAACAATTTTTCAGGTCTAAAACAAAGAGCAAAATAAGATTTTTTTATTTATTTTCTCTTTTTATCTTTTGTTATTATCTACTTTTTTTACAAAATATGGTAGTGTATATTTACATCAATCTCGTAAAAAATTATTGGAAATTTCTTACACGAATTAAATAATAATATATTATTTTACTAGCAATACAATTAGGTACATTTTCACTGCGTTGATTTACAGCTTCGTATTGTCAAATGTAATTTTTATTCTATCATTGTCTTTGATTATCTTTTATATTGTATATAAAAATAAGTGTAACGGTAGTATTTTAAAGAATTTATATACAAATATGTGTGGCGTTTGTTTAAAATATAATTCAATGTTATCAATTGCAAAATATTTCAACCAGATTCAAAGATCACTGACCGATCATTGATCTTCTCTCTNTCTCTCTCTCTCTCTCTCTCTCTCTCTCTCTCTCTCTCTCTCTTTCTCTCTTTCTTTCTCTTTCCTCTATCCCTCTCTGATCTTAATTTCTCGCTCTTGGCTCCGATCTTTCTTCCGTTCAGTTTGCTCTGCATATACGATTGCTTGTACTTCACAATTAGTTCGTAGAAAATCGCACAAGTAATTTTAATGTGCTGAGTAACATTTATACAGTATCGATATTGTATTTTTTTACCGCATACTACATATATACTATATTGTATAGTGTGATATATATTGTCTAGTATATATACGTATGTGTAATTTTTTTCTCTTTTGCTTTTTCTTTCTCTCTCAGTATAATATTATATACCTGCAGAGAAAATATTTTTATTTCTCATAAAAGAAGAGCGCGCGCACTTAAATTAATTAATTTAGACTAAACATCGAGCAATGACTAATGATAAATCTTATGGCATTCAGCGGATTAATTGGCTTAATTATTATATCTCATATGTTTTTTAGGTGTTATGATTATGTAGAAGCCACGTGATAGCTCCACATAGAGATCTTACGATAACCCATTCCTTTCATCATAGTAGATGTTGAGAGTACGGTTTGCCAACTCCTCGACGATCTAAAGTTAGCGCGTGCGGTGAACGCGGGGCCAAATGTATTTGAGTAAAAAGCATATTTAGAGGAATAAGAAAAACTACGTCGTGAGAGAAACAAACAGGTCAGAAAAAGAGAAAAAAAGTGAAAACTCGTGACAAGGAAGTATAATTAAAAGTAAACAAAATTTTAACGACATTAAAAGTTGAAAACATAGAAACTAAAAACATTGAAAAAAAGCTCAGAGTTAGGTTTGATATCATTTAAAGAACGAGAGTCTCATATAAGTAATATATGAGTTAAAGAAATATAAGACACGTAAAAAATCTTCCGAGGTAAATGTTATGCGTTAAAACAAAAGAAAACAGGATATATTTTAGTGCAAAAAAGAAGAATTAAATTTTAGATATAGAAAAGATAAAAAAAGAAAGTCGACTATAAATAAAAATAGTAAAAATCTGATAGAAATTGAAACAAGATTTGAATGGAAACAATATTTTACCTGAACACTAGAGACTCTATTGTCAGCTTAATTAATAGAACACTTCATATAATAGATCATAATTTAACTACAGTAATATCAGAGAGACCGCAATACTTATATTTAGTGCACGCGATGAATAATTACCTATTATTCTATTACCAAGATGAAAATAAGTACATACACCAGAATAACATATGTGTAATTTTCATTTACAAAGAAAAAAAACACGCGCATCAAGTACATAAAAACTCAGTAAACAAATTGCTAATTTTTGTGAATAGATTGTCTACAAATTTGAGTAGAATATCATAACAGATCAGAGGATTGTCATCTTAAAGGTAACTTTTTCAAATCTGCAGTATTAAATTTGTAAAAACAATTATATGTTTTGACAAAAGCTAAGAAACAAAACATTAAATATACTCATATGTATCTCAATATTCTATATAAACTTTCATTAGATGTTCATTACACATCTAATGAATGTTATGTCTGTGGATAAAAATATGGTTAATATATTTTATTTATCTGTCTGTGTAGGCAACTGTTTATATTACTATAAAAAAAAAGAAGAAATGTTATATTTTATAGTACAATACAATATGAGTGTGTAAATATATAATTTTATATATATGAACACACTAAAGGAGTAATTGCTTTATTTCTTAGCTTTAAGTAGATTGTACATGTACAGTAGCTTCTCTTGAAAAGTGCAAAGTTAGAAACCGAAGCAGTTTTGAAAAATGAATCCGGATATTCAGCAAACACAAAACTGCGTTTTATAAGATAGAAGCCACATTAAACATAATATATTAAGCCGTTATATCAATATCGTAGTTATATTTCTGTTGCATAAATGTCTGTTGTATTAATGTTATATTCTTTTGTTATTTATTGCTGAGTAACTTAGTTTTAGAACTAAGCTATAATTTTTTTTTCTATTGTCGTGATAAATAATAAGGAAGAAAAATATCTTTCGCAAAAGAAAAGAATCAATCATAAAATTGTCAACTTTTACGCCTTTTTTTATAGTGGTAAAGATAGAAACAAATATGTAAAAGATTAAAAACAGTTTTGCAATGTTAAGAGGAGCTACTGAATTTATTTTTAAATTTTATCTTAAGCATTTGCGTCTCGATTGTTATTTAATATTTATGTCGTTTGCATAATAAGTCTTCCAAATAGCTTAAGTTTTCTATATAGCTTATTTACATATCGCGTCATTATTATATCATCCGAATAATACAAGCGGAGACTTTTGATTTCAGATAGAAGTCGCATATACACACGCACATACACACGCACACATACGTACACACATACATTCACATAAAAGAATATAAAATGAATTATCTACCTCGTTAGTATAAGAAAACGTTGGCAAAGAAGATACCGAAGACATTATTAACTTGTTAAAGATTAGTAGTACTTGTAGTACTATTCGTTTCTGATCAGCCGATATATATCAGTCTGTCGCGTTTGGATTTGTGTAAGAGAATCCACGAAAAACACCTTGATCCATCGAAGTCAAGATTTGTTCGGGTATTGGTGTAAGCTTCGGACGTTCGGTTGTAAACGCTGTATCAAAGTATTTCGTGTCTAACGTATGATCGAGCGCAGGCTTAAATGGCGCTTCCAGTTGTCTTCTTTCTAATCGATCCCAAGGTAAATGCTGGGAAAGAAAATTGTCCGTTAATGTTCAACTGTCAACTTGCAAGACGTTTTCTTTGTTAGCAAAAAAGACAAGTTTCAAGCAGATTTTACCTGAAAGAAAGCATGCACAGCAATTTCGTGACCAGGCAATCTTTTCCCAGAATCTTTCTCCAATAAACAGACCAAGATATCAGTAGCTTCTTGACTCAGGTATCGAGGTATAAATGGTCTTTCGTTGCATATACTCCAAAATAGCTCATCCTCATCGCATCCCGAAAATGGTGATTGGCCTGTTAGCATCTCGTATAATAAGACACCGTATGACCACCAATCTACGGCTTGATTATACTTGAGTCCTTTTATAATCTACAAATGTATATAAAAAAAAAAAAATACTTATAATATCTAAAAAGAGGATAAGAGTAAGACAAATAAAATAGTTCATCGTACATACCTCTGGTGCCATATAATCTGGCGTGCCGCAAAATGTGTCGGCCGTTCTATCGAGAAAAATCTGAAGTTTACACATGCCAAAGTCTGCAATTCGAATATGACCTTCGAAATCGAGCAGTACGTTGTCCAATTTGAGATCTCGATAAACGATGCCCTTCTTATGCAGAAAATTTAATCCGGACCATATTTCGGCAGCGTAGAAACGTGCGCGAGGCTCGGGAAATCGACCAGACTTCTGTATGTGAAACATCAGATCACCTCCATTGAGATATTCCATGACGAAAAAGAGATGCGAATCGGTCTGAAAGGTGCAAAACAAGTGACAGAGATAGGGATGCCTCGTTGCTAACGTGAGGACTTTTCTCTCGATCAACGTGCACTCGACATCGTCGTCCTCGAGAACAACGTCCTTCTTCAGACATTTCACTGCGTAAAGATATTCCGTGCCACGCAATTCAGCCAGCAAAACCTTACCAAAGCTGCCTTTACCCAGTACCTGCGAAATAACATCGAACTTCGTTAAAACGACCGTTTTTGTTATTTATCATATAAGTTTTTTTTTTAGCCGATGCAATTGATACGTGAGAACAATCCGTTTTGACGAACGAATCCTCGACTCAATGTATATAGATATTTATACTCGACTAGATTCACAATAACTTGATATGTAATAAATTCTGAGCAATTCTCGCTCTCTTCGAAGCGGCCAGCATCAAATCTCACATCTGGACGGGAAAAATATTACGTGCGACGCGCTATAGATAATCTATATTTACACGGCTATTTGTTACGAGATTTAATTTTGTTTTCATCCATCCTTGCGAATAAATTGTCAAATTATACGTGCAGTCACTTCTCACATGATAAAATCGAGACGCAAAGTGTGCCCCTGGCATTGTGCTCGCTTACCGATCGTAAACTTGAAAATCGAACATTCGCACGTCATCTGCTGGATGATTTTCTGGCGAATTTTCTGGTTTCGTGAATCAAACAGTTCACGTGATGTAAATACACGTGATTCAGATTAGATCTCGTCTACGAGCTTCGAGCCAAATTATGTTCGAACAAATTAAATCATATATCTTTCACGTGTACTGGTTATAATAAAACTGATTAAATATATAGATTAATGATATTTCAGAAAGAAGATAAGTTTCATGTTATTAAAGAAACAAATAGATCTGAAAAATCAAAATGTTTTGAACAATCTCAAATAATATCTTCATTTAGAATTTGACTAGATAGAAAATCATTTTTTCGTTATATAGATATTTGTTAACAAAATTTGATACATAGATATTTGTTAACAAAATTTGATACATAGATATTTGTTAACAAAATTTTACAGTTAAATTCTTGCTAAAAAATTATTTTTGCAAAATTAAATATTTATTTGAGAATACGTCAAATATATACGCACGCAAGGCAAAAGACTTGTCGTGTGCAAAGTCTAAGTTTTGTCTTTGTATAAAGTTAAATTTAAAGAATTTGCGTTTCGCGTTTGTTTTGTATTTTTATCGATTCGCATCAGAAACGATAACAGTTGAGAAAATGATATTCTGAGCATAATTGCTAAAATAAAATGGCAAAGTTTCTTCCATCGCGTAGTACTCTTTACACGTGCGCGCAAGTAGGCGTACACGCGATTATATATTCATAAAATTTGTAATGTGATCTCAAAATAGTTGGCTAGCTTTAGGAAACGGCTGAATATAAAACGTACATATAGCGCTCACAGAAACAAAAAGTTAGCTGAAGGCAAGTGTTGTATAAATTAATAAGACTCTGTGTAAAATTTGTTTTTTTTTTTTTTTTTTTTTTTCTCTACGTAAAATACAACTTTTTCACTCAACACAAAAAAATCTAGAGAACGAGTGAGTTT